TTCATATGTTGATGGTACGGTTGAGCAAACCAATACTTTTCTCTTGGAGATGAGGCGGGGCCCCAAGGAACACACCATTTCGGCCACCTTCAGGCAATTTAGGCAACCCCCCACATGTGACCATGAGAGTCTACATACACCCAAAGCCCTATTCTAAGTCTAAGTCTTAAGGTTTCCGTGGGAATGTCGGGGAGATTCGGGGCATGGAGGATGCAGGAAGACTTGGGCTGCGGTGGTTGATCCCCAACAGCTTCCAGAAGCCCGAAACCTTGACCAAACCCCTAAGCCCCAAGCCTTCCCTCGCCTCTGCTACTCTTGCTGATGGCGTGCAAGCCCTGAAGCCCCGAAGCCTTCAAGCTCAAAAGTTTTAGCTTCAGACTTCCGAAGAAACACGGCTTTGCAAAAAGATTCCCAAAGCCTTCTTCGACTTATTCCTCTATCTGGAACTCTAAGGATCAAGTTAAGGCCCCCCAGAGATCACAGCCTTTTCCAGGCCTCGGTGACCCTGCTGATGGTCTTGAAATTGCTCCCAGACTTCTCTGCGAGCCTCGAGGAGTTGCCCAGGAGCGGGGGCTCAGGGGTTTGAGGGCTGAGAGGGCTGAAACATGATGGTTTCGGGCGGGGTACCTCTTGAGATGTTCATGCGGTTTGCTGGGTTCTTCAGGCCTAAGATGCAAAGCAGCTTTCAGCTGCCGTTTCGTGGAGCTTTGATCGGTTCTTGCAGAACTTACAAGAGCAGTAGACGTGAAAAGTGTGTGGCATGTGCAGCCTGGTTCAGTTTGCCCACCGTGGCTTGGACACTGACCTTGCATGCCCATGATTTGATTAATGGTGTGTATGCCGTTGTGGCTACAACAGTGTGCGTGCGTTCTCACTGTTGTAGCGACTTCAGAGTTCCATGCAAAACTGAACACTAAAGCCTAAACCTTAAACCCTTGTGTTGGCCATGAAAGGAAACCCAGACAATAAACCCTTATGGCTGCCGTTCGGTTGCTTTGAGCGAAGTCTCCGAAGCTACTGCGGGCCCAGTGGGTAGTGCGGTTTGGGATCACGCAAAAGGCACCCTGTGTGGCTCTCAGAGTCGTTGAGTCGTAGGACCCCTGGAAGGGACCCTAATTTAGAGAAAAGCCTCGCAGGAGAATTTCCGCTTCCAACCTCTGGACCCTCCCCCTTTCGACACCTGTTTTCGGCCTACAGTCTGCCTCTTAGAGGCTGGTGTGGCAGCTCGTGGTGCAGCTCCACCGGCAGGCATGGCTTTCAAAGCACAAAGCCCCCAAGGCCTGAACCCTAAAGCGTTGAAGCCCTTAATGCCTCGAGCCTTGGGGTTTGGGGTTTAAGGTCCTTCCTTCCTTCCTTCCTTCCTTCCTTCCTTCCTTCCTTCCTTCCTTCCTTCCTATCATTGTTATTGTTATGATTATTAAGGTAGGGTCAGAGGGTTTATCGGTTTATTTTTATTGCTAGTTTGGAAGGGTTTAGGACTTCGGGGTTGGGAGCTGAGCTGACCCGAAACAGGCAGCCCAAGAACTCACGAGCGAATCTAAATCTAGGGGCCCTTTTTGGGAATGGTTGTATTCAGGAGCCTCGAAGGTCTGCTTTGCGGTCTGCTTTTTTCTGAAAGTCCGATGTGGGGGGGGGGGGGTGTTCCATGCCTATGGCACTTCACTGTTTTCAGTCGCCATTGGTCAAGCAGGCACCTGCAAGGCAAGCCACGTCAGAATGTCATAGTCCCTTTCCAGGGGTGCTCGCTAAGATGAGCTACACGCAAGATATTTCGTCTTAAAGACACCCATCAGTTGCTTGAAAACGAGGGCCAAGAAGCTGCTGGCAGGCGAGGTTGCCCCCGAAAGGATACCCTGAGCCTAAAGGCCCTAAGCCCTAAACCCAAAGCCGTAACAAACGGACCCGAAGGCCCTAACCCCTACTTCATCTAGAGATGCACTCAACGCAGGACTTCGCAGTTCTCAGCACCTTCTCGCGTGACGTCGCAGCAGCCTGGGACCTATGCGAATTCAACTCAGGCGGTGTTTCTCGAATGTTTTCGAGTTCTTCTCGGGCTTTAAGGTTTAGGTCCGTGTGGTTTGGGATCCAAGGTTTCGGTTGTGGCATCTAGGGCCTAGGGTGCATTTTGTAGCTGGGGGCTTCGGTGGTTCGGGCTTCAGGGTTTCCGGTGTTCAGCGGCTTCCGATGACTCAGGATTTAGGAACTACGGCTCCTGGGGTAAACAGCCTGCCGAGCCCCAAAACCCTTCGCGACCTCTTTCAGGACCCGCCTTTTGGGGTCCTTCTAAAGGCCTTTGAAGAACACCACACCCTAAACCGCCTAAACCCTAAACACTAAGCCCTAGGCCTCCCAAAACCTTACAAGAGGCCCTCCGCGCTCTGGTCAGTCGCCCTTTCCGGCTCACGGCTTTCGCTCGGCTCTCGCGCCTCTGCAAGGAGCACGACAGCGCTTGCTATGAGAGTTACTATAAGGAATACTAAACGGGTAAGGGGAATACCATAAGGGATGGTAATGCAACAAGGGTTGGTATAAGGGATGCTTACCATTACCAGGCGCAAAGGACTTCAGCGAAGAGTCTTGGGTCAGGTTCGACTGCGCTTATCAGTCTTCATAGTAGCTTATTCGGTGTGAAGCCCTGCCGCGGGTTTCGAGAAATTTCGAAATTTTGATTGGGGATTTCGGACCCAGGTGGGTTTGATAAAGTATTCGTGTACTTGGCTCGGCCCGTGAAGCCACAGGCTCCACCAAAGGTCCCCTAAGCTCTAAACCTGAAGCCTTCACTCCCACAGCCAAAAAAAAAACCGCAACCCCCTTCTCCCTGAATGCTAAGTCCTTGCACCCCTTGCACCCTAAACCCTGAAACCGCCCTTCAGCTTTAAACCTGTACATCCCTGCATCCTAAGCTCTCAGGCCAAAAAGCTCTAAAGCCCAAAATCCTAGAGCCCAAAGCCCTGAAGCCCAAAAGACCCCTGAATCCTCAAAGCCCTGGTGGCTGGCCGCAGGGCCGCCTGCCCGACGCAGAGAAGGCCTGGCGCCCGGAGAACTACGACTGCCATAGTATACGTAGGCCGGTTAGAAGAGAGTCCCCATTTTTCAAATCAGAGTTTCATACGGTAGTATGATATGGAACCAAAAAGCCATGTTCCAAGAGGTGGGAAGGCTTCCTCTGTTGGACGAGCGACGCTTCCTTCCAACCTGTGAAGTGCTCTCACGTGCTCGGCCAAAAGCCCTTCTTCGGGTTTCGGGTTTAGGTTTCGGCCTTCTTTACTCCAGGGTCTGGGGTGATGCTCGCTCCTGTCTCCCCATGAGATTCCCAGGCCGGAACGCCGGGTGGCGCCGGCGCTGATGGCGCGGGGAATAGGGGCACTTCGGGTTTGGGGTTCCGATGGTCAGGGTCCAGCTTTCGGCTTTGGGGGTTTAAGACTAATGTCCAAGCTTGCAGGGCCTTTTGGGGGGTTTGCGGCTTCAGAGCTTTTGATTTTTTTCGGGTGCCGGGCTATGTTGAGCTTGACGTTCAGGGCTTATAGGGCTTCTTGTTCTTTCGCCATCCCTGAAGAGTCCCTTAACGGGCCTAAAAACCCCCAAAGCGCTCTTCCAAAGAGCACCCCCGCAAGAGCCTCCAAGCCAGAGCCGGAGGCCTTTCCCTGGAGCTCTCGGAGGGCCGCCCCTGGGCTCAAGGATCTTTGAGACTCTTAGTTTTAGAGGTTTACAAGGGCGTTGTTGTTTGGGCATGTCTGGGTCTTTCTAGGTTTTCAGACATTTTAATAGGGTTGTATGGGAATGGCAGCAAGATTAGAGCGGTTAAGAGGCCGTGCGAAGACGAATCACGCTCGAACGAGCTCGTTTCCGACCATATCAACTCATGGCCACTGTCAAAGAAACTGGACAGGCAAGAGCTACGGTTTAGGGTTTAGGATCGAGCTTTCAAAGAAGGAGCGTCAGAACAGAATGCCGGCCGAAAAACAAGCTTCAAACACGGAGTATCAAAAGCACAGCGTCCGCAGCAAACAGAGGCATCACAGCCTCAGGAAGACGGGTTGCCGGAATTTCACTTTGAAAAAAACAGCTTCAGAGGAGCTTCAATGCAACAAAGGCTCCAGGACAAGACCAAGAGCTTCAAGAAGAAGTTCGGATGTAGGGTTCCCCTTGGAAAGCCGATGACTTCTCGTCAAGTTTAGGGCCTGGGGGGTGCGACTCAAGTCGGTCGGACGCGGCATCGACCCCGGAAGTAAATCCACTCCTTTGATGAGGGGCCTAACAAGGGTCGTACCAGCATGGCCCATACAGATCTCGCCGGGATCGCAACTGTATGGCCTGTATAGGAACACTATGAGGCTGGTAAATGACGCTTTAAGCAAGGGAGGGCTTCGCCACGCGTTTGGGGGGCAGTGAGGCTTCGCTTCGACGGCAGCAAGGCTGTGCCGCCTGGCGCGAGACGTGGGCTTTGAGAGGGAGGCCCTGCGGCCGCTCCCAAAAGGACTCCCCCTCGCAGCCCCAGGTGGCTTGTTCTTGGTGAGACGGAGTCCAGTGACTCCGGAGATTTTGCTGTCACCTTGTTCTTCTCGCAGACGTCCTTTAAAGACATCTCCTGTACTACAGGGATCTTGGCTCTGGGGGCTCTGGGCCCTAAATCTCAGCTGGCGGGAGGTGATGCAAAGCTCCCTGATCCGGTTGATGGCCGCGGTGGCCAAGTGGTCCGTGGAAGGGAGCATGGAGGTGGGGGGAAAGCGAGGCTTCCGTAAGGTAAGAAGCACATAGGACAGACTTTGGCACAGGCATCAAAAGTATCAAGAGCCGCCCGTCCTACTGGGAGTCCACCGTGGAGAGTTTACATGCCGGTCTGCTTCCTGCTCTTAGGGTAGCTCCAGCACTCGACTCCAGATAAGGGGCCTATCACGTCCAGGGTTGCGATCATCCACCCAGTTTTTGCGCAACGCAAGTTTGTGGCGGATATCATATCTACAAGTTTTGTACGTATCCGAACATAGAGTTTGGTCGAGAAGCTGATGGTGCATCTCTGAAGTTTCAAGACACCCTACCGGGTTTAGGGCTTAGGGCTAAACCCTACATGCGAAACCCTGAAGTCTAAATCTGACAGGCCCGAATCCGAAACCCCAAACTCCCTTTGGCTACTCAAGCCCGTCATTTACAAAACCCTTCTGGAAGCCTCCCAACGAAACCCTTACAGAAATGTTAAAACCCATCTGAGACTACAGCCCTAGAGCCCAAGACCCCGAACACAACTTGACCCCAAACGCCAAACCCTTAAACCCCGACCCTCGTAAATCATGACCCTGCAAACCTTAATCCCTGACCCGAAAACCGAACACCCTGAACCTTCAACCTCATCCAAAAAACCCTGAAAGCCCCAACCCAAAAACCGTAGATTTGCATACCTACAGTCTCCATTGTAGCTCCTTTTTTTCGGTTAAACCCTTTTGCGGTTCTAGGATCCAAAAAAAATAATTGGTTCACCAACAAAAGGAACTAGAATGGAGACTAACAGAGGTTTTTGTTTTGAAAGCAATTTTGCCCCGGCAGAATCCAAAAAGCATGCGCTCCAGGTTGAGGAAGCTGTGCGGGTCTTGCGTGAGGGGCTCGAAGCCCTGGCCGCCCTGCGCCGCGGGGCTGGGGGCCCCAAAAAGAGGTTTAGGGCTTTTTAAGGTTTGGGGCTTGTGGGGTTTAGGGTTTAGGGTTCAGGGCTTTTCAGGGCTTTTAGGGCTTTTGGGGCTTTTAGGGCTTTTGGGGCTTTTAGGGTTTAGGGCTTAGGGGCCCCGGCTTTTGGCAGTCGGGGCTTTCAGGGTTTAGGGGTGCAGGGCTTTAGGGAAAAATGGGGTTTAGAGTTTAGGGTGTAAGGTGTTAAGGGGTTTCCGGCAGGGTTGAAGGTTGTTTAGGCTTTAGGGTTTCAAAGGGTTCAGGGGCTTAGGGGTTTTGCAGAACTGTGTTGTTGTCTACCCTGGAGTTCCCCCCCTTAAAATGGGAAGTTGTAAGCCCTTCAGCAACATATATACTAGAAAATATATCCGATAATGTATAAGATGAAAGACACAGTATGTAATATATCATAGATACTATGTAAAGGTTTGGTTTTGCCCCGGAGACTTCGGTCGTGGCTGTCGAGGTCCCCTTTACAGGCGCTTCACTTCCTCCCCAGCGAAGGCCCCAGGGACCAAGATGCCCTGAACTCTTCGAAGTGGCCTAGAAGACGTGCATTCGTGCCTCATCTCATGCCACGTCGTGGGGTCTTATACCGTCGTGTACATCTTATACACACATATATATATATGTGGTATGTATATACAGATATATATATATACATACATACACATGATATATGTATATATATATACACACACAGAACATATACATATCTATATCTATCTCTCTCTCGCTATATATATATACATACATACATACATACATACATACATACATATATGATAGATAGAGATATATGCATATATATATAGGCCGATATAGTACATAGATATGAATGTAAATATAGATATAGATATAGATATGTATGCATGCATGCACCTAGATCTGAAGTTCCGGCGCAATGAAGGGCTGAATGAATAGCATCACCGCGCGCAGCAGATTCGAGCCCGTGGCACCGCTATTGCTGCTCTTCTTTATGATGGACCGGTTGTGACCCACTTTGGCGGCGACAGCAGTGCTGTGCAGGCTCAGCTGAACAATGTGCAGCAGATCCAACTTCTCTGCAGAGACAGCGGAAGGATGTGCAGCAAATCCAAGCTACTGGCGGAGATGTTGCTGCCATTCTGGCTGACGGATCGGTTGTAACTTGGGGCAATACTGACTAGGGTCGCGGCGGCAAGGCTGTGCAGGTTCAGCTGCAGATTGTCGACTCGAGTTGGGTCAGATTGTCTGTCGCAGAGTCGCTGAGCTTCGACATAGTGTTAGTGTTTCGCTAGACTTGCAGCAGCATGGCACCTGCCAAGATGCAGCATCAAAGTGCTGAGGAATGGCTGGTGACATGTGCTGAGCCCAAACGCCTATACCTGAACCATGCCACGCTAGCCTAAATGATGCAACAAACTAACTCTCTCTCTCCCTCTCTCTCCCCCTCTCTCTCTCTCTCTCTCTCTCTCTCTTTCTTTCTCTTTCTACCTACTTTCCTGTGTATCCATCTCATCACTCCATATGCGATACTATACAGATCATACATATACTTATTTAGGCACATACACATACACATACCAGGATAGTATCTCGAGTCGAGGTCCCATCGATTCAGATCCAATCCGAGCTCGGCGGCGCTTTGCCAGCGTTGGCGCGCTTCGTTTCGAGGCGCACGCTCGCTCCGGAAGGATGTTGTCATGATTTCAAAAAGCGATGGTCTAAGATGTCATGGGGTTGTGTGAGTGCACGAGAGTGCTGCAGGGTTGTCTGGCTATTGCGGGGGTAGGTTTGGTAGGAAAGCAGCTTTCATCCGCAGGCTTCCCAGTGTGCTCGACCTTCGGTAGAGGCTTACAATCTGCCCAAAAATTCCCCACAGACACCTTACTCCCACAAAAAAACACAGAAACCTTGAAGCGCAAGCGCCGAGGTGTGCCCCCTCCCTTGGCCCGGCTCTGGCGGATCTTCTGGAAGTGGCCTTGCGCGAGCACAGCGCCGCCCTGCTGCTCCCGCCGAGACCCGAGAAGTGAGCTGAGGGGATCCCCAAGCCATATACTGTAACCTTCTAGAGTTAAAGCAAGATGTAGAAGCAGATATCTAATCTGATGTATTTCATAGAGTGCAAGACAGTTTTTGTCAGTTTTGTGTTAGCATACTGCACGACACAACATTGTAGGATGAAGCTGAGTTGAAAAGGAAGTAACGTACTGTCTCTGTGTGTGTGTGTGTGTATGTATGTATGTATCTATACACAACATATACATATATGCATCTTTACTAAATATTAAATAGATAGATAAATACATATATATATATACATACATACATACATACATACATACATACATACACCTAGTGTGTGTATGCATATGTACATGCATGCATGCATACGGAGTTCGCTCGGGCGTCTCCGGAATTTCGGGGCTTGAGCTAAGCAGAGCTTGCCGGCACCGAGGCAGCTTCCATCCGTGATGTCCCTGCTGCTCATGGCAGTCGAGAAGGCAGGCAACGCAGAGAATCGTCGAATAGAACACAAGTAGACAAAGTTTCGCGCGGCGATCTAGTCGGCAATCTACTGCTACAAGGGAGCCCCATATCACAGCGCCGAATCCGTAAGCCCAAAGCCCAAACCCTTCACTGAGCCCTCGGCCCGAAACTCAGCTCGTGGCCTGAGCTCCTGAACCAAGAGGCTCTGTTGACAGGACGAAGCCTCATTACTTGTTTGGTATCCCCACTCGCCCCGAAGAAGCATCCCTACAGCGCATCTTGCTAACCCTACTATGTCAAAAGAGCGTCCAAATAGAACCTAAAGCCTTGAAAGCCCCTCAATCGTCAATCCCTACATCATGAACCCTGAAAGCCCGAAACCCTTGCACCTGTAAGTTCATGCCGACGTTTCGTGAAAGACCCCAGCAGGCCCAACGACGCCTGTAAACCCAACTCCTTAGAATTACCCCCCAAGCCCTCTAAAGCTCCAAACACGACAACCCTGTAGCCCCGACCCAGCTGCAGCCCATGTTGGCCCCACAGCCCTTCAAGGCCCCAGGCCTAACATTCCCCAAGGCTTAAGAAGCTCCGCGACTCCGAAGCCCGAAAGCCCTAAAGCCCGAAAGCCCAAACAACTCCTTCAACATGGCCGAAGCTCTCCAAGCAGGGCGCGCCCCTATGCACGACCCAAATTTTGTCCTCTCCTCCACCTTCAAAAAAGGTCATATACCCACCCAAAAAAAGCGCTCCTCTTGACAGAAACAGAGAGAGCTCCGGCCCCCAAACAAGAAGAAGAAGAAGAAGAAGTCCCTAAACCCTAAACCCCCAAACCCCGAAAGCCTAAACCCTCATAAAGCCCTGGGGCGAAGCTCTCTCCTAGAGAAGAAGTCCACAGGGCTCCTGGAGCCTTCGGCCCCTGGCTTGGGCGCTCCGGCGCTTTGGGGAGGCGCCGCTGCGCTGCCCGCCAGGCACCGGGCGGTGGAGTGGGTGAAGAAAGGTTTCCTATGGGCGGATGTTTGAATGGAATGGTGCTAGGGGCTTGTTTTAAAGTGGTCCAGGTGGTAGAAAGGCTTTTATTCATTTTTTTTTTTGGGGGGGGTGTTTGGAAGCAATACGGTCTGTTTCCAAGCGCATCGTCGGGGTCGTTTTAGAGCGTTTCAAGACGTTTAGATGTGCTTTTTCTTTTTGTTGTTTGTTGGGATTGGATTTTGTTAGGGGTTCCTGTATTCCCCAGAGGCAATTGGGTTCTGATACGGTTTTCTGGGGTGTTACCGGGGCCCATGGCGATTTTCGGCTTTGGGGTTTAGGGGCTCGCGGTCTGAGGTATTGTCCTTCTCTGAACTTCTCAGGTTGAAGGGCGCTTCTGTGAGGGCATAGGATGCCGCTACGCTTGTATGTATATAGACTAGAGATGTACATATGCGCAAACACACGTACACACATACGCAGAGGTACATACGTATGTATGCATATCTATCTGTATATACACATACATACACTTGCTCTCATTTATCTGTTAAACCCCTACAGCTGTTCCTTTGCTAGATCGGGCTGTGTTCTTGCAAGGCTTCAATGCGGCTTGGCTTGAAGCCTCACTGGCAGACGCCGGGCCGCAAGTTGCGCTGTTTTGCCCTACACAAGCCTTCGCTGAGCTTAACCCTGCAACCCTTCAGAGACTGCTAAGCCGCTAGCCGCTAGACCTTGTGACCCGTAAAACCCCTAAACCCTAAACCCTAAACCCTAAACCGTGGCTCTGCAGAATATAAACTGAATCGCCTGCATCTTATACCGCTAACCCTGCATCCTACAGCCGAAGTCTTCGATTTTGCTGTCGCCCCCATCACTGAAGCACGTTGAGCCGGTACCTATAACCGTAAAACCCTCAAAGCCTCAACCTTGCAACACCAAAAAAAAATAACACCCTCAAGCCCACAGCTCTGTTGCCCTGAACCTGCAATCCTCAAGCCTGAACCCTTTTAGTTGTTCTGCTTAAGCCCTCCACAAACCCTGCAACCCTGAAGCCTCTTGAATTCCTCCACCCCTTAAGAAACGCTTATAAAACCCAATTTGCCCCGTCTGCCTCTTGACTTTACTTTTTAGAAACCCGTTGACATCTGTAAAAGCTTACAAAACTTCTCAAGCCTCTTGAAGCCCCAAGCACACCCCAAGGACGCAGAGTCCGCCGCCCTGCTCGCAGAACTGCTGCCGGCCCTGCGCGCGGCCGATGTGGCTGGGGGCTCAAGGGCCCAAGGGCCCAAGAGACAACGGCTACATGCGCACATGTGCGCATACTAATTTATATATCTAGATGTGTGTGTGTATATATATATATATGTGCAAACAACGAAAATATATGTACATCTGTGCATGTGCATGTACGCGCATGTGCATGTCCATGTGGCTGTGTATGTGCATCTGCATACGTTGTTTAAGGGCATTTTTACAGGTATTTACGGGTCTTCGTGGTAGCAAAGCTCGCTATTGCTCCATGTTTCCTGTTAGGTTGGGTTTCCCTGTACAGTTCAGGCTGCAGTTTGAGGAGTCGTTGGATCCCGAGCTTTGCGCAAGCCGATGACGGGTTGGTGCGCTGAGTGGTACCTTGAAGAAGACAGCAAAACACATCAGTAATGTTTGTAATGACAAACTATGGTCACCTCAATGTCATGAAGATAGCAGTCTTCATGATAGGAGCAATATGAGCACAGACAGCAAGGAAATATGCATAGCAAGCATCGCGAGAGTTACGATGCTGGGTATAATATCAGCCTGCTAGTGCCACAGCAACAGGAGAAGACGGATCAGTTGTGCATCTGTGGGTGTTGCGATCACCTCAACTCTAAAACCCTAAACCCTAACCCTAGATTACTAAACCGTAAGTCTAAACCATGATCCGATGTTTCAGGTCCCCTCAACAGATAAATGGGCCGCCTTGGTGCCCGGTGCGTCTAAGGCCGCTCTGCACGCTCGAAGTGTTCGCGAATCCTTCGGGGATTTAGTGGGGATGTGAAAGCTTCGGAGTTCATGGCTCAGCACCCTAAACCCCAACTACTAAAAACCCTAAGCCCTAAACCCTAAACCCCTACCCTAAACCCTAAACCCTGAACTCCCTATACCCTAGACCCCTAAACCCTGGGTTGGAAGCTGCAGAGCTGGCCAGAAAGTTCAGCGCTTCGAAGAGGGTGTCGCCAGGAAAGCTTGAGGTCCGCCATCCCACATGGGGGTTTCCGAAAATTAGGGTACCTTATTTTGGGGTCCTTCTAATCAGGATCCTACTATGTGAAGGGTACTATATCAGGGTCCCCTGTTTTCGGAAACCCCCATGTTGCTTTTTTAGGCGTTGAGGGCGGCTTTAATGTAGGGGCCTGAGGACGAAATGCCTGATAGGGTCTCTGGTTTCTTCATAAAATAGGCATAAGATGCCTGGCTCTAGGGTGTAGTGGAGTGTAAGCCTCGTGTTTCGGATTTAAGGCATTTAGGGCCGTTTAGCGTTCAATATAGGGGCCTTAAAAATTAAATTATAGTATACTATGCCCCAAAACCCTATTCGAATTATTAAGGCCCCTACATTTAGGGGAGTCTTGGGGGTAACTTGTGGATGCATTGAGCACCTCAGGCAGGGGAGCCTGGACTGGCTCTTCCACCAAAGAGTCGGAAGCGGGAAGTCACCAAGAATTCGAGAATTAGGGTGTATAGGGTTTAGGCCCAGTTTAGGGTTTATTAGGGTTGAGGGTTGGTTTATTAGGGTTTAGGGTTTAGGAATACCTTTAGGTGAAATCTGGGAGCCTCGAGAACGGAGCTGTGAACATCTTCGGCAGGAGCTCATAGAGAAGAAGCCATCCGCAGCCCACAGCCTTAAGCCCCATTTTCCCGCGCAGGCATGTCTCCATCCATCACGCACAGTACTAGCAACCGATTCAGGAGCTTCGACGATCTTGTTTGAATTTGCTTAAATCCTCAACATGCGCACCACCCCAAAACATCAAGACCTTCTGCCGGGTGGCCGAACTGCCCAACCCTGTACCTAAAATCTCCGTTTGAACCCTTCCCCTGCAGCCCGCAGAGCCCCAAACCCTGGACCCAGTAATTTCCCCCCCAAACCCCAAACCCTAAACCCTGCAAACCCTAGACCAAAAAACCTTATAAAACCTAAATTACTAAACCCTCAACACCTTGGATCCTCAACTCCAACCCCAAACCCTGGGCCATGCCTTGGAGGCTCCGCCGAGTGTGTCCTCGCCGTTTGCAGAGGCCAGAAGCAGTCTGAATATCTACATGCCATGTAATATACACAGAAGTATGTCCTTACAGCATGAATTAGTAAGCAGCTTGCATGTAGCAGATATACACAGAAGTATGTCCGTACAGCATGCATTAGTAAGCAGCTTGCATGTAGCAAATATACACAGAAGTATGTCCGTACAGCATGCAGTAGTAAGCAGCTTGCATGTAGCAGAAGGGCTTTTTGTTGGTGCAAGATCGGGCACCATGTTGCATTTCCTTGGGCACAGACCGCACGTATCTGTTACACCGTTTCTGCTATTGCTTCAGAATTAAGCAGTATCATTGCAACATTCAGAACAATAGTGATCTTGAAGCTGGGCAGCAGCATCAGGATCACCATGCTGATGATGGTGATGGTGATGATGATTATCATCACCATCGTCATGCCAATGTCGTCATCGTCATCGCCACCATCACCATCACCATCACCATCACCATCATCATCATCATCATCATCGTTGCCGCCAGCGTCATCGTGCCCAACTCCTCCTCCTCCTCCTCCTCCTCTTCCTCCTCCTGCTGCCTTCTCCTCGTCATCACTCAGGTGAGCCAATAGCGTTGTTCAGATCTCCCTTTCGAGCTCTCTGCTCTCAGGTGCACCTGATGGCCAGAGCTAGCGAATTCCAGGCGCGGGGAGGGCCTTTTTTTGATCACTGCTAGAACACCAACCGGCCTGGAGCCGACAAGAGATCTACTGGACCCTCAAAGCAGCTCTTAGACTCCCTAGGCTCGTCTCATGACAAAGTGCCTCTTCTGGTGCTAGGACTCAGAGAAGGCCCAGTTCCTGAAGGAGCTCCTGGCGAAAAGTACAGGCCGTGGTAGCTTTGGGTTCGGGGGTGTTTCAACACTGCTTCAGTCATGAGAGGCCAGAGACAGCGGAAAGGAACCCTTCAACTGCTTCGGAGAGCCTCTGCAGGAAAGGTAGGCACAGGGTTTTGGGGCACTTGTCCATGGCTTCTGGCAAGATTGGCGAAGAGGCGGGCAAGTGCTTCAAGGGCCGGATCAAGTCATACCAGCCGGGCAACGGCTATGGCTTCATCGAGTGCCCAGAGACGTACCAGGACTTTGGCCGTGATGTGTACTTGAGCCGACAGCAGCTGGAGCAACTACGCATTACCACAATTCCATCCAACACGGATGTCGCGTTCAAGGTTTACGTCCGTGATGGCAAGCCACAGGCGTACGATTTGGAGCTGCTATGCCATCCAAGGGATGGGAGAGGTTCCGGCTACAGCGCCCCTTTCGGTCCCGAGGCAGGGTTCGAGCTCCGGGCCAAGCAATGCGAGCATGCGTTGAATCGCTTTGCAGATTGCTTGCGGACTTTGTCTGAGAGCCTGGATCTGCACGGCCTAGGCCAGCAATCTCGCCGGGCACTGCAAGAAGCGGATGCAGTGCTACATTGCGAGGAGTGCCGTCGGGATGAGCAGACGCAAGGCTCAAAGATCCTGCTTCTCTTAGAGCAGGCACGACAAAAATGGGACGACGGGAACAACCTGTGTCACCGAGCCCTCAGAAATGCGCTGAAGCAACGACTTGAGGCGCCAGCGGAGCCTGTCGAAATGCCCATATCACGGCTGCGGTTCACACAAGCCAGCCACAGCAAGAGGTTTCTGCACGGCCCCCATGCTGGGCAGCGCATTGAGTCTCTGACAAGGCAGCTGCTTCGCGGACAGACTGCTTTGGACGATCCTTCCATGCTGTTGAATGTCGTGTACTTCCACGGCTCGTACCGTTCCCTCAACAACCGGCACTTGACAGCCATCGTGAAGTACGCGGAGGAAATGGAGACACAGAGTCGATTGCCCAAGAAGTGTCATGTCCGCGTTTGGCCGTTGGTTCGCAGCTTGGCTTTCAGCTCAGCATGGATTCGTCAGTTCGTCTCACCAGAACCCTCGTTATGATGATGGTGAGGGGTAACTATTGCCGTTGTATTGCTACTGATAGAGATGCGGTGGTCCTTCTGTTTCTGCGAGGTGGCTTGCGCATGATTTATGAGGATGGCTCGGAGCAGGAAGTTATCCGCAAATTTCTCCGCTCCAACGACAGTGTAAGTGACGGCCTCAGTATCACATGCAAGCGGCGAGCAGGACGGCAGACGGCCGTAAACCAAGAAGTGTGTGTCCACCTTTCCAACTTAGATGTGAAGGTGGAAGAGCGTGAACTCTACTGGCACCTTAGAGAAGGCCTGCAGGACTTTAACAAGTACAATAAGGTGACGATTGCGCGGCGTCCGGACGGACGCTCCAACTGTCACGGATGGGTGATGCTGGAGAACCTAGAGGAGGCAGAGCGGTTGCTCAAGGCGGATGTGCCGCCGCTGAGAGGTCGGCCCCTGAAGATGCGCTTGGACAATGTCTCCGCCACAAAGCTGCAAGGCTCCTCAGGCAGCGGGTGGGTGCGCTGCAGGAACTGCCAAGAAGCGTGTGCTCCCCTTCTCGATGTGCTATTGGTGGAAGATGTACGGCTTCGGCGAGATGCGGTCTCTGCCAGGTACTTCGATGAGGTACCCACATTCTTTTGTATCGGGAAGGAAGACTCCCTGCAAAACTGCGACGTGATTTCCCCGCACCCCGATTCAGCCGAGATGTCATTCAAGCTTTCCCTCATTAGATGCAAGTGTCAGATGGATCTCGGTAACATACAGAAGGCTTCCCGCATGCAGGGGAATGTGGGAGAGCTCTTAGGCGAGCGGGTCGTCCACTTCAAGTGTGCATCCCTTCTCCTGGAACTCTCCGACCGCCAAGATCTTCTCTTGGAGGTGCGAAAGTGGCAGCATCTGGGTTGCCCACCAGTATCCTTACGCAAGTTTTGCCCCTCAGGGTCTCCCCTTCGTTCTTAAACCCCGACTTCAGACCAAGCCACTTTTTGTTGAGTTGCAGGTACTTGGCACAAGCGACGGGTCGGGAGTCTCCGTACCGCCTGAGTCAGCTGACCATGTCCGAAGCCATCGACAGCCTCGGACTGAGTCTAAACTCGAAGGTGCCAGCGAGGAACACCAATCGCCATGCGCGCATCGTTCCGAAGAGGTCGGCCAGAGCGTAGATGCTCCGAGATTCGAGGGCGTTCTTTGTGCCACAGAACGACGAAGTCGAGTTGTGGCAGTTTTTTCTAGGCGAGGATCACCTTCGGCATGTATGTCATTCACACATGACAGGCTGGCACAGCCTGTCCTTGGAAGATACATGCCGCCGTTCATCAGGGGAGAACAAGAACAGTGACCGATGCGACTCGCCTTGTGGTACATCTCCAGCAGACTCTAGCATGCATAGCAAACGTCATGAAAGTTGTGATGATCACGAGAACAAAGGTTCTTACACACATTTGTTGACGGTGGTGATCGGTCGTCGTCGTCGTCCTCCTCCTCCTCCTCCTCCTCGCCGTCGATCGTCGGTCGTGACATGTGGTGGCATGTGCTGGCGCCTCGGGCCGGCGACGACGGGAACCGGAGTCGCATGAAGAGCGGAAAGAACGGAAGCCGAGCTCTGCCAGCAGGCGCCGGCTCCTCGAGCTGGCGTCTGCTGCTCCGGGCGCTGGAGACCTTCGGCGAGGCAAGGAGCCTTCGGGTTGATGCGGTCACGAAGATACGAACAAACCAGAATCCAGTCGTAGGTCCATGACCAGATGGATTTATCTGGTTAGGTACGTAAGCAGTGTCGCTACCGGCGTCCAGTTGTTCTTGCGAGCAGGCTCTCAGCAGTCCAAACCTTAAGTCTGGCTTTGCTACGGCACGGGGTTTCGGCTCATTGGCATTTTGACCTTGAGTGAAACTTGCGTCCAGGTGGAACTGCTGCAGGAGCTGCTGCTGTCAGCAGGCTCCTTCTTACAGAAAGTAGAGACTGAAGCTTGGACATTGGAGTGTCTGGAGTCGTGTGCAGCCTGTAGACACCTAAGCCCCAAGTAGTGTAAAGCCGACGCCGTCCATCCAAGCTAAGCAGCGCAGCTGGCTTAGGTGAATCCCGAAAGCAGCCTACTCCCGAAAAGCCTTTGCAAAATTTCGGGTTGACTACTATGATTTCTTTTTACCTTGCGGTTCTGATAGAGAGTATCTGCTGCATTTGTTAGCATCTTCATTATTCCCGAAACCCCGACAGTCACGCCGCAGCTGCTGATAAACTTATTCCTGCGTTATTGATAGAAGGAGTATACCCGAATTCCTATAGTTTAGGCGACTTTGGGTTTTTGCCCATCAGCCAACTGTCTCAACCTAGAATTCAGCAAGGCATCCCTTCAAGCCTTGGCCGAAGAAGTCCCCAGTATCCTAACTCCTGCACCCCTTAAAACCCCTCAAAGCCCCTGAAAGCCCTAAACCCTAAACCCCTTAACACCCCTTAACACCCCTAAACCCTAAACCCCCTCCCTTCTTTTGAAGCCCCGATACCTCTGGAGGGCCCCAGCCGCCGCAGCGAGCGGCTTTGTGGCTCAGCCTCGCCCGAGCGCTGCGCCGCAGCCTGGGCCACAGCCGTTCTGTTTTTTTTTGATGGTGGGGTGGGGGGGGTTGTTGGGGGTTTTGGCGGTTTCAATTTGTGTTGTCTTCTTCGGCTTTCAGGGTTCTATGTGGTTGGAGGTGATTGTATCCTAAACCACGAACACCCTCGAAAGACCCCAATGCGCAATGCTCAATCGTGTAGTACTTCCACTTGTGAATGAGCAGTACAGTGGACATGCCATGACGAGTGACGAGCGTTCTAGATTCTGGGTTCTAGTCGCCCGAAGACCTCTACTCACCCGCATGAGACGTTTGCGAGAAATCGACAAACAACCTCGAGATTCAGCAGTTTGAAGGGCTAGGCGAGGCGTGTTGGCGACTATGGTTTGCGGACCCCTTCGAAGCTAGAACATGCTTGAAGGTCTGAATCGCCAGCCGGAGGAGGCCGTGAATCGGGGTGAAAAGTTTGCTCTGATCTTGTTGGGTAGTTTCAAGACTGAGTTTAATCACGATGTTACTATGGCGGAGACCCGTCCCAGGCGAAACGCTTTCAGCGAAGTCGGCTCGTCCGAGCCATGGGCGACGAGGCCGCAGCTTCGGCATCCACGCAGTGGGTGCCCTGGCGACAAGTCAGTCAAAGAGGCTCCGCGGAACTCGAGAACCACGTTCAGGTTTTTGCAGAACTGCCGGTGACCCGAATCCATTGCTGATTACGCCCAGAAAGGCAACAGCACTGCAGCAGTGCTAGCAATCTACTGACCCCCAAGCTCGTAATTCAAGTGCCACTGGAGGTTCGGAACTGGTAGGTTCCGGAAGTCCTGAGATAAAAAAGCCCCGGCCTTTCGAGTGAAGTTTGGTCATATCGTGGGCTCTTTCTTGGTGTTTGCCATTGAATTTGGGTTCATAGCTCCGGGAAGACAAGCGGTCGGGATTCAGACTTTGGAGAAGAAGGGTTCGGGACTTAGGGCTTGGGGTTTAGGGGTTT